CATTCCTCTGAGAACTTGAACAAGACAAGGTTGCCCACTTTCACCACTTCTATTCAACATAGTACTGGAAGTTCTAACCAGAGCAATCAGATAGGAGAAATAAGCAAAGGACATCCAAATCAGTAAAGAGGAAGTCAAACCCGTTGCTGTTCACTGATGATGTGATCATATACCTAGAAACGCTTAAAGACTCCTTCAAAAAGTACCTAGATCTGATAAATGAATTCAGTAATATTTCAGGATACAAAATTAATGTATACAAATCAGTAGCACTGATATATGCTAACAGTGACAAGGTGAGACTCAAATCAAGAACTCAACCTTTTTTACAATAGCTTAAAAAAAAAAAAAACACTTAGGAATATACCTAACCAAGGAGGTGAAAGACCTCTACAAGGAAAACTGCAAAGCACTACTGAAAGAAATCATAGATAACACAAACAAATGGAAACACATCCCATGCTCATGGATGGGTAGAATCAATATTGTGAAAAGGACCGTACTGCCAAAGGCAATCTACAAATTCAGTGCAATTCCCATCAAAATACCACTGTTGTTCTTTGCAAAACTTGTAAAAACAATGCTAAATTCATATGGAGCCAAGAAAGCACCTGCATAGCCAAAGCAAGACTAAGCAAAATGAATAAACCTGGAGGAATCGCATTACCTGACTTCAAACTATAATATAAGGCTATACTCACCAAAACAGAATGGTACTGGTATAAAAACAAGCACATAGGCAAATGGTACAAAATGAAGAACCCAGAAATAAAGCTAAAAAATTACAACCAAGTGATCTTTGACAAAGCAAAGAAAAACATAAAGTGGGGGAATTCAACAAATGGTGCTGGGTTAATTTGCAAGCCACATGTAGAAGATTGAAACTGGATCTTCATCTCTTACTTGATACAAAAATCAAGTCAAGATGCATCAAAGACTTAAATCCAAGACCTGAAACTATAAAATTTCAATTCTAGAAGATAACATCAAAAAATCCTTCTAGATGTTGGCTTAGGAAAAGACTTTAAGACCAAGAACCCAGAAGCAAATGCAATGAAAACAAAGATAAATAGACGGGACTTAATTAAACTAAAAATCTTTTGCACAGCAGAAGAAATAATCAGCACCCTAAACAGACAAGTCACAGAGTGGGAGAAAATTTTCACAACTTTGCATCCAACAAAGGACTAATATCCAAAATCTACAAAGAACTAAAAATAAATCAGCAAGAAAAAAACAAATAATCCCATCAAAAAGTGGGCTAAGGACTAGAATAGGTAATTCTCAAAAGAAGATATAAAAATGGCCAATAAACATATGAAAAAAATGCTGAACATCACTAATTATCAGGGAAATGCAAATTAAAACCACATTGGGATACCACCTTACTCCTGCAAGAATAGTCATAATTTAAAAATAAAAAAAAAATAGATGTTGGCATGGATATGGTAAAAAGGGAACAGTTTGCACTGCTGGTGGGATTGTAAACTAGTACAACCACTATGGAAAACAGTATGGAGATTCCTTAATAAACTAAAAGTAAATCTACCATTTGATCCAGCGATCCCACTACTGTGTATACACCCAGAGGAAAAGAAGTGATTATATGAAAAAGACACTTGCACACATGTTTATAGTGGCACAATTCACAGTTGCAAAAATATGGAACTAGCCCAACTGCCCATCAATCAACAAATAGATAAGGAAAATATATACCATTGAATACTACCAGCCATGAAAAGGAAAAAATTAATGGCGTTCACAACAAACCCAATGGAGCTGGAGACCATTATTCTAAGTGAAGTAACTCAGGAATGAAAAGCCAAACATCGTATGTTCTCACTTATAAGTGGGAACTAAGGTATGAGGATGCAAAGGCATAAGAATGATACAATGAACTTAAGGTACTTGGGTGAAAGAGTGGGAAGGGAGTGAAGGATAAAAGACTATACATCGGGTACAGGATACACTGCTCCAGTGATGGGTGCACCAAAATCTCAGAAATCGCAACTAAAGAACTTATCAATATGATCAAATACCACCTGTTCCCCCAAAACTTATTGAAATAAAATAGAAATAACTACAAATTAGCCCAAATGTTAATCTTTGTATACATAGAGAGGTAAAATTATGACATTAACTGATGAGTCAACAAGGAGATTCATGTTATCATGTCATTCAATATGCCACTTCCTGAAGTGACAATACTGTTTAGGCAAGTAAGAATTGTCAGAACACAAATATTCCTAAGTGAACTAATCACCTCTAGAATTACTTTACCCTTAACCATTTCTCTGTGCTCCAATCTAGTGTCTATATTCAGCCATTGTTCCAGTATCTCATCTGCTAATTTTCTGATATAGCAGACATTCTTGAACTTTAGTGTGAAATGGTCTTGAGAAAGTTGTGATTGATTTCACGAAGTTGATGAAGATTGTGTTTGATAGCCACTTGAATGAAATGTAAAGCCCTATTGACAAATAGGGTCTGAGACATAAAACAATTAAAATGGGAAAAAAAGAACAAATAAAATAAAAACAACAAATTCAAAAGAGAAAAATTTGTACAATAAAGAAGTAATGCCCCTGTGGCGTCACTGACTGTTTTTTAAAAAATCAATCTATTATTATTTTTATTACTATCATTTCTTGAAATTAAAATGTTAAATAAAAGTTATTTTAAATTTTCATACTTAAATTTTCTGGAAATAATACCAAGGAAAACCCTTGATATTTGATTTATTCTTTTTTAAAAAAATTTAAAATTAAGTACACATTTGTGGTTATAACTAAACTTTGGTTAAGGATGAGATAAAATATTTTCATAATTTTCAATTTTATTTTTCAAAATAACATTTTAAACATGTCTGTTTTTCTCTGCATACTATAAAATAAGTTGATTTAAAAAATATTAATTTTATCAGACATTTTTACCCCATAACCAGTAACTGTCAGATAAATCCTTCCTGTAATTCTGTCTTACCCAATGACTATGCCTGCCATTTCAGACAGCAGCAAGGACAGTTCACATTTATTAATTTAAGAGGAGGCCAGAACCTAACAACAGTGTTACCCTCACTCAGTTTTTATTTCTGAGCATACCTTTGATATGCCAGACAGAGAGAATAGATTAAGACAGAATCTCAGTTTTGAGTCCAATTTTATTCCATGAAAGTACATTTGGGAAACGTTTGTAATGATGTGAGAGCTAAGTATCACACTAGAATTAAGGATTCAGTGAATTGGGAAAAAAAGGAACATCAGAAGGGAAGAGTTAGTTTTCCATGGAAAGGGTTCTGTGATTTCAATTCCCAAGGGGTGTCCTGGCATAGGAGTGGGGTGACAATTGCCTAGGGAGGTTTGGTGACCTATGTGCAAAAGGGACCTTCAAGAGGGACCCATGTAAGCTTTCAAAATCCTACATTGTACCGGTATTGCATAGCATCAGAAATGCAAAAATGATGCATTTTGACATTTCCTGGACCCCAGGGGAAGAGGTCAAAATAATTTACTCAAAAATTAGTGAAGGAAGAGTAAGAGAGGCAGAGCCAGCAGATCTAAAGCCTTGTGGATTGGATAAATAGACATTTTAGCTGAAAATCAATGTAGCCTGAGGATTAGGCATGGATGTAGATACCTGAAGTGATGGTGGCATAAAGAAATAACCAGAGGGTGAAATAGGTTCAACCATCTCACAGAATCATAGCTTGGACAGAGCTTATATATAACCTGGCACCTGTGCTCAGGGCCATGATATCAGGCAAGGACTTTTACATTTACATACGACGAAGGAAGGATATAGATAGTGTTGGGTAAATCCTAAATTGATGGAATTTAATTTGAAACAAAGAGATCTTCACATGCAGGAGTATAATTAAAATGAACTAGGTTAGATTTTCTTGGAGGTTACAAAGAAAAACTAGGTGTTTATATTTTCGCATTGATGAGTTAGGGAATTGGAAATGCATCTCCTCTCCTAATACTTTTTCTGTACAGACTCAGCATATTGATTTTTCTTGTGATGCCAGCCCCTGGTGGCTGGCTAACCTGGAGCACCTGACAATTGCTTTCTGGGAATTTAGACAGGCCCTCAGAACAAGACGTGGAAGGGAGATTTTTTTCTATTATGTGACATAGGTCCTTCTTAATCCAGAAGTTAGTAAAAAAAATTGTTGCAATATTCTATTCTTTAAGAAGATGGAAAAACTGGCATTTTTTGGTAACTGATATGGCCCAATACCCAGAACAATGCCTACTTATAGCAGGATTTTAATAAATAAATGTCGAGTGAATAATTGGAAAGAAATTTTTTAAATGATAATCACATTAAGGCCATCACTCTACCCACAATCCCAACTTCAGGTTTGGCAAAAGTGAAAAGAAAAAAAAATATTTTAGATATGCTCTACCTACAGTTTAACAATGCTACTATTGTGTCCCCATAATGCTGTTAAAATTGATCTCTCAAAATTCACTTGCCACAACTTTGTTGCTCATGGATGTATGTGATTTTATTGGTTGACCACCATATGACCTTAAATCCTTTCAGTTTAACCATAATCTCATGCTCTAAGCTACTAAACTAGCTTACCTGGTTACCAATGCTTAATGGAATGGTCCTTTGACTTTGTAACTTCCAGTTTTGCTTTGTTCTTTTGGATGCTGATCATCACTGATGCCAACACAGACCAAAAGCTTGACAACATACTACGTTGTTACTTGAATGAGTTCAAAATTAGCATTTCATTTTTGTCATTTCGAATTAAGATTTACCAGTTTACTCTTTTTTGTCATTATTCTACCCATAATATCAACTTCAGGTTTTGCAACAGTGAAAAGAGACAAAAACAATTATTTTAGGTAAGCTCTACCTTTCCTTACCTATATTCTAACCTTACCTACTGCCACGTAATTTGAATGTATTATTATATATTAAATTTTTTTTTACTTTTTACTAAAATTTTACTTACAATTTGTGCATTCCTCTGTGTAATTTCACATGAAAGTTTTTGCTGCATTGAAATCATTAAGCTATAGTAGAGGTCATTTGTTTCCAGCTTTCCTGAGATTATTTCTTCATCAGATTTTTTTTTAAGATACTTATTACTTCCTTATTTCTCAGGCTATAAATGAAAGGATTTAGTAAGGGAACTACTATTGTAAATAAAATTGCAGCTGGTATATCTCTAGCCCCTTCTTCAAGCAAATTTGGTCTAACGTACATGAAGAAAAGAGATCCGTAGAATAATGAAACTGACAAAAAGTGGGATGCACAGGTAGAAAAGGCTTTGGCCCTTCCCTCTTTGGATTTCATTCTGAAGATAGTAAGAAGAATGTAGACATAAGATATTAAGACACTACCTATGGTAAAGACTTGAATTGAACCCGAGAAGATGAATAATACCAGTTCATTGATATAAGGATCAACACAGGAGAGTCTATACAAGGGAAGAATATCACAGTAAAAGTGGTTGATGTAATTTGATCCACAGAAAACTAACCTAAATACAAGCCCTACATGAATCATGGAATGCAGATTTCCAGCTAGGAAGGCCCCTGTGGTCATCTGAATGCAGAGTGTCGTGGACATCATGGTATGGTACTGCAGTGGGCTGCATATGGCCACATAGCGGTCATAGGCCATTGCTGCCAGAAGAAAGCAGTCTGCAGTTTCCACAGCGCAAAGAAAATAAAACTGTACTGCACATTCACAGAGGGAAATCCTGTTGTCCTCAGAAAAGAAGTTCTGTAACATTTTGGGGGTAACGGCAGAGGCACAGCAAGAATCCACAAGAGCCAGGTTTCCCAGAAAGATGTACATTGGTGTGTGAAGTCGACGGTGTGTAAAAATCAATGCCATCAAACCAGTATTCCCCACCATGGTGATCAGATAGATGGCAAAGAACACTACAAACAGCAGAGTCTTCAGCTCTGGGTGACGTGTAAATCCTGTGAGGATAAACTCATTTTTCACAGTGTGATTTTCTTCAGCCATTCCTGATTTGTCTGAAAAAAAATTTTTGGAGATATAAGGCACTAATTTAGAATATGCCACAATCGTTGAGGTCTCTTCAGCTCAAAGGAAGGAGAGCATCTTCCACAATGCTTCCTCATGTTGCCTGGGCTTTGGAGCATGCCCCGTTCATGGGGAGAACAAATTTTCTAAAGGTATTACCTTTTTGACTAATGATGAAGTGTATTTCCAGTACCTTTTAAAATCATTTTTAACCATTTCAATAGTACCTAATAGTAGTTTTCAGTCCTCTCTGTCCTTCTACCCTCCACCATCAAGTAAGCCCCAGTGTTGACGTTCTGTTCTTTCTATTCATGTGTTCTCAGTGTTTAACTCCCAACTTATAAGTGAGAACATGCAATACATCGTTTCCTGTTCCTCTATTAGTTTGCTTAGGATAATGGCCTTGAGCTCCAGCTATGTTACTACAAAGGACATGATCTCGTTCTTTTTTATGGCTGCTTAGTATTCCATGGTATATGTGTACTACATTTTCTTTATTCAGTCAACTGTTGATGGGCATTTAGGTTGATTCCATTTCTCTGTTATTGTGAATATTTCCAGCACATTTTGAAGAACAAAGACATCAGATTGTCTTCACAAAGACAGCTTTTGAGGTCTTGAGAGAAAGATCCAGAGAACAACACTTCTCTATGTGGGTTAAGTAAAGTTAATCCATAATTTAAATATCACCAATTAGTATCAACGTTCCCAAAAAATTTCAATGAATATACATGTACTAGTTAAAAATGTTGTTTAAAAGACTATTTTTTATGCCAATGTTAATAGCAGCATTATTCATCCATAGCCAAAAGATGAAAACAACCCAAATGTCCAAGGATGATGAATAAATACATTGTGGTATATACATACAAGGAAATATTATTAATCTTAAAAAGGAATGAAATTCTGACATGTTACAACATGGATTAGGTACATAATCCTAATTAAAATAAGCCAATCAAAAAGGATAAATATTCTATGATTCCATTTGCAGGTACCTAGAGTAGTCAAATTTATATAGACAGAATATAGAGTGGTGGTTGTCAGTGGCAAGTGGGAACAGGGAGCTATTTTTTAATGGTTACAGAGTTTCAGTTTGGAAAAATAAATAAAGTTCTAGAGTTGTGGTGGTGATGGCTGTATTAATACAACAACGCAAATGTACTTAATTATATTGAACTACGCTTTACATAGGGGTAAGATGATAAATTTTATGTTATGTGTCTTCTATCACAATAAAAAATTAAATGCCTATTTTCAGTTGCATATTCTTAGTAATTTAATATCTCAAATACTACTGGAGGGTACTCTTAAAAAAGCCTGTTTTGGAAATAGGCTATTTTTAAGGTATTTGTACCCCTCTGGGGTGAGGAGGGAAAATAATGTGGATTAAAGTGGGGAGGAAACAGAGAGATTAGGGAAAATTAGAAAAAAAGCCTATACTAGAAACCAGCCAGGTTATTTATAATACAATTTATACATACAATGTAAAATTATTCATGTGTGGATGAAATTTAAATGTTATCAAAAATTCAAGAAAAGGGTTAAAAGTTGACAAATTTATTTATATATCAAAAATCATGAATAAAAATCAAGCATCAAACAAAAACCTGGGATATTGAAATAAATAGGATATTGTTTCTATAGTTGTATTTTAGGAAGAAATCAGTACAAATAATCACTAGAAAATAGATCAATGGCAGGAACAGAAAAATCTGAAGGAAATATAATTTTTTTTTACATATTAAAAAGTTTTAACTTACTAATCAGAGAAACATAATTTGAAATAGCTATGAGGCTATATTTATTCTGCCTATCAAAATGGCAAGATGTTTTTAGAAAGAAATGATAATATATAGTGCTATCTAAAAGTGACACAATTATTGGAAAATAATCTTTAATAAATTAAAGAAACTCTTAAATATTCACATCCTTTGACCAATAATAATGAATTGACCAGAAATAAAGAATTCAAATCTCCCACAAAGATTGACATAAAGTGATGCCCATTGTAATTTCATTCATAATCATAAAAATTCAAAACAGCTAAAAATGGAGGTATAACCATTTAGTCAGTTTTATACACAGAATAATCGCAATTTTCAAATAACTGCTTATGTACGAAAGTTAAAAAAAAATGACATGGAAATACATCTAAATATTCCTAGTTTTTCTATGCAATAAAATTAGCAGCCAATTATATGTTCTCCTTTATGTCTTCCTCCATTTTTAATTGTCTGCAATGGCTATTGCTTCAATAATTAAGAAAGAATTTTTTTATTAATTAAATAAAATGGCATGCTCTTAGGTCTGCTGTGCTTTATAATGTGATTAAGTCCACAATAATCATGGGAACCCAACCAATGTTTTCTGTACTTTACAAATCTACTGTGAATACTATTACAAATTGATTCATTGAGCAACTGCCTACGCCACTTTCATGGTATTGGTATCACTAGTTATAAATAATAATAATTTGCTGCCAATCCTGCATACATCTCAAACTATTCAGGCATATGTTCATATCATGTGGTAATGCAAGCGTTTTTATTATTATTATTTTTTGAGACAGAGTCTTGCACTGTTGCCCAGGTTGGAGTGCAGTGGCGTGTTCTCCACTCACTGCAACCTCCACCTCCCAGGTTCAAGCGATTCTCCTGCCTCAGCTTCCCAAGTAGCTGGGATTACAGGTACCTGCCTGGCTAATTTTTTGCATTTTTAGTAGAGATGGGGTTTTACTATGTTGACCAGGCTGGTCTTGAACTGCTGACCTCATGATCTGCCAGCGTTGGCCTCCCAAAGTGCTGGGATTACAGACGTGAGCCACTGCACCCAGCTGGTAATGCAATCTTAAGGTCATCTCCTCTATGGAAGCAACATCTCTTTGGTGTCAACTTCTATTGTTTCAATGTCATGTGTTTTCATTGTATTCGTAGATTCTAGGGTGTTCATATTTATTATAATTTTGGTATATTTTTAAAACTTTCATTACTTATATGTCCTTATAGACAAAGAGTTCTTACCTATTGGGGAGCATTTTACTTCAATCTACCTCATTTATCTTTGTTACTTTGGGAATCATTTATTAATTGTGCTGATATTTATTGAATGCCCGCTTTCTGCTACCTACTTGCTTTAAAAGGTTAACTGACCCTTCTAGATATTTCTAGATAGACATTTTTCTGGATATTCATTGACCACAACTATACTCTGAAGTTTGGGAACAGAAGAAAACCGTTTTGGAGAGATATAGGAAGACTTCTTCTTTTTGGTTGTAAAAATATTACTAACTTTCAAATCTCAGATTATCTGAAGATAATATATCTTTTTTAAAAAATCTTTTTTATTATTTGAAACAGGGTCTCACTCTGTTGCCCAGGCTGGAGTGCAGAGGTGCAATCTTGGCTCACTGCAAAGTCTACCTCCTAGGTTCAAGTGATTCTCCTGCCTCAGCCTCTCGAGTATGGGATTACAGGCATGTGCCACCATACCTGGCTATTTTTTTTTTTCTGTATTTTTAGTAGAGACAGGGTTTCATTATGTTGCCAGGCTTGTCTCAAACTCCTGACCTCAAGTAATCCGGCAGCCTCAGCCTGCCAAAGTGTTGAGATTGTAAGCATGAGCCACTGCACCCGGCTGATGTACCTTTAAGATCAATATTTTAAAAATAACATTTGAAACTTATATAATTTAAATAAGTTTTTCATTAACTGCCTTGCCCTTGGCAGCTTGAAGTTATATAATATAAAATTTCCTTCAGTTCATCCAGTTGTTTATTGGTCAGGCAGAAATAAGTTTCACATTGTTATTTTATTTTTCTAAGAATCACAAAGAAACTAGAACAGCCCCCAAAGTTATATTTGGGTTTGAAAGACTCATTTGAAATTATAATCCTTACTTATATAATTTGTTTAATACATAGGAATGCCCAACACAAAAATTTTAAACACTATTTCCTTGTAGAGGTTAATAATTCATTTCATCATGTTTATAAGTAATATGACAAATTACATAATTTAAATAAGTTTCAAAGTCTTCTTTAATGTATTCTGTTATTACTATAAAAGTGTGCTTTTACTTCTCAGTATAAATTTAGGCTCCTATCGAATTCAGAAATGATACAAATGAATGAGAGTCATTTGTCCGAAGCTTATACAATAGACTTTAGATTTAAAAAAATTTAAAGATATTAAAACATTGAAAAATTGGAGTTTTAAGAAAAAAACTCTAAATAACTTAGAGAAAGAAATGTTTCAGGTGATTAATATTTCTAGCAAAAATAGATTTAAATTTTTTCTCACCTGAATTATCCTGGTAAAAGTTTGAGAGGCCAGTTGGTTGCCTGACAATAGTTTTTAAAGTAAATTCCACAATTAAACTCTATCTTCTCAATCATTTAGGGGAATATGTTTACAAAGAAATTGATGCCGATATTTATGTCACTAGTAGAGAATTGTTTGGATATTTGAAATAATTCTAAAGAGATTTAGTTGGCATTGACTTCAGAGCAGAGCCTGAGAGACCTAATCATTTGAACATCAGAGACCTACTAAATCGTAAAAGCACAGCTTGAGAGACCTGATTCTCTGGACATCACAGACCTTACTCCTTTGAGACCTAAATAGTAAGGCAAATTCCAATTTCTAAAAAATTTTAAGAGCCATGTTTTGGGCACACATTTACCTATGTAACAAACAAACCTGCACATCCTACACATGCATCCCAGAACTTAAACTAAAATTTAAAGAAAAGAGAAATTTTTAATTTTTATTCATTTGAGTTTATACTATTTATCCTTACCACCAATTTGAATGCAAGATCCTTAGTGGGAAGAAAAAATTCCCACTGCTGGTCAGCCAAGGCTTCATGGAGGAAGTGGGAACTGAGCGCAGCACCTTTCCCACCTCTTTTTAATGGCAATATTTAATTTGCAGAATCTTTCTTTGGCATTTTATTCATAATATCACCAACTTCATACCTTAGTTACTAAAACAAACTTTAGAAATTTTCTTCCAAATCCAGAAGCAGCTGCATGAAAGCCTTCTCTTCTCATAATACCCTCCCCCTTTCAGGACTCTCCCATCATTTGTGGTGTTATGGCTCCTACTGATCGATTGCTTGCCCACCAGTCTCAAGTCTCCATTTGCTTAGTAGAGCTTTTTTAGGACTCACTGGAGGAAAACCTCCACCAAAGGAACTATTGAAGAATGATGAATATTCCTCCCACCCATGAAACAATGTAGGGTCAGTGAAAATATTCATGGGAGTCAGTGAAAAGAATCATGTAACTCATTTCTTGTTACTCTAACTTTCCTACAAATTTATGAAAATTTTTATGCTTTCTTTAAAA